CATCCTGTCCATTGTAAACATGTTCGTGCCACAAATTCTTTGATTTTATTCTAACAACAATTGCAAATGCATTTCATTTCCCTGTTGCATTATATGTATGTATGTATGTATGTAAGTATTTCCTCATGAAACCACAATTAGCCTAAATAACGGGCAATGGAAGAAAATGTTTACAGTATTTCTGCTACTCTTGGTGCGCACAACTGCAAATTTTCTCAATTTCACACAAAATATGTAGTTTGCCTCATTCAAATTGCGTTTACTTAGTACAAACTCTTTATCACCCTCCCCACCCCTCATGTGTGTGTATGTATGTAGGTAGTCCGCTTTACCCATTCAAACAAATTTTGCCAGCAGGCGTTCGTCATTGCTTGTCGCTGTAAGCTGATGTGGGTGGGGTGTGCTACTCAAATCAAGTGGACAAAATGTCATTTGCATAAAAGCACCAATACATGCAAAATTGCATGAACTGCCGAAGTGTAAGTACACACTCCGCGCCGCTACGTGGCATGGCCGCAAGCAAAGCGTTACATTGCAAAAACCTGTACAAATTTCCATGTTACACTACCTTTCTATGGTTCTTTGGTAGTCCACTTTTTCCCCTACATCCACTTTTGTTTTTGCTTTTGCTTCTGCCTCTGGTTGCCATGTTGATTTTGTGTTACCTTTATGCTACTTGGCCATGCAACTATCTCTCTGTTATGTGTTTGCTATTCGAGCTTATAAACTTACATCGCAGGAAATTTGCGTGCAAATGTAAGTTCAAGCGCCCTGTAATATGCAACACAAGCGTACTGCTGCTGGCTTTGCTGCTCTCGTCTGGCTGTATGTCAGAGTATGTTGTACTAAATATGTCCGTCCGTCTTTTGTGTGAGCCAAACACGCAACATTAAGGTGCAATTCACCGGCAGTAACACTTTGTAACGGACAGCAAGCATATTAGATCGTTCTTATGTATGTATGTATGTATGTATGTATGTGGGTGAAATTAATTTGCATGCACTTATGTATGTTTGTGCGCAATTCGCCTGTAGCGTTTCTCCCCTGGCTGTGCTGCATAAATTGAAAACGGAAGTCCTTTTTTAGGTTGCGAGTTTAACAACCTCGTTGTAGCTGGCGTCGCTGCTGGCTGAACAATAGCAGCTGTTTGTCAGAAATGAAAGAAAGGCTTTCGCTTTTACGTAAACACACCCAAACGTATGCATACCCAATAGGAAAAAAAATTGCAAAGCTTTCAAAATGTGCTTCTCTAGCAAGTTTTTGGCTGTATGATGTCTGCGCATTATAAATATTAAAGAAAAATTTATTTGGGGGTATTAGAGCAACAGAAGCCAAATCAAATTTTTTTTTTAAATTTGTCCGTCTGCCTGTCTGTCTGTATGTATATACGCGCATTATACAAAAACTGATGCATGAAATTGAATGTAATTTTCACTGATGTATTGCTAGAGGTCGAACTTAAAATATTTAAAAAAAAAAATATTTAGGGAGCTGCCACCTGTTTGAAAATTTCAGTTTAAGTTAATTGATACGATAAAGTAAATATTGCCATATGGCTATCAAAATAAATAGCTTTAAAAAGGCTTACAGACGAAAATATTTTTGTGGAAGGTTGCCACCTGTTTGAAAATTTTAGTTTGATTTAATTGGTAATATATATTAAATTTTGCAATGTGGGTAACAAACTAAAGGGGTTTATGAAAGTCTACGGCCGAAAATATTTTTGAAGCGGGTTGCCACCTATTTAAAAAAATGTATATTACTACTTCTTCTTTTTTTACATAACTCGAGAGGCTCATTCAGATATTTAATGTGTTGTAAATTCTATTACCACATTGTAGATTGTTCCTGGAGCGGTAATTGAAGGTAATCCATGTGAAGTTAGGAAAAGCGCTAGGTGGTCAAAAAAAAAAGCTCCGTAGACAGCTCATGTACACTCCAGAGAGTTTCTCGGGAGACGTTTAAACCTTAGTCCTGCAAAAACCGCACAGCTGAGAGTAATAATTCCAATTCATCGTTCTTCCAATAGCTGTGGCAGTAGAGGTCCGTGACGATATTAAGCCGCAACGCATGTTTTCTTAAAGAACAGTCTCCTAACAGTACACCAATCAGAATCGAGAGTTGGTGCAGAAGTCGCAACTAAGCCAGAAAGATTTTGCAACTTTTCATGTCGGGGTTTTCTCCAGCATTTGCTGATTCGAATCAAATTTCATCTATCCAAGTTGCCACATAAACTCCTATGACCTACCTGTAGGGAGAGATGGCCACACGGGTACCCTGGTTAGCTAATTCAGCAAAACTGAAATTTAATTTTATGTCGCAGAAACTTGATTCAGATTTAATTCGAGGCGATTGAAAGAGATGTCAGGTACTCCTCGATCAGTTTCCAATGCATCATGCTCGACCCCAGAGCTCTGAGTTCCGGTTCGCTATCAGAGTCGATATTTATCCTTCTAATCGGTAATCCAACAGCCAACAGTTCTAACGTCTAGCTTCGATACGCCCGTGAAAATGCTTATTGGATCTCTTCTCTTCTGGAGCTGAAATTCTCCCGTTTATCCCTTAAAAGGATATGTGTATAGAAGGATTCGTTCGAAGGTAAGCTTAGAACGCACCGATCCATTTCTTCCGGTATGAAGTCACAGTTTCCAAGAATTTCCGAGTGTTCGTAAGCCAGGTGGAAGGGAAAACCAGAGTTTCTTAGTCTGATGGTGGAGTGAACATGGCAACTTAGTCCGCAATGTCAAAAGGGTACGACACTGAGCATAGTGCCTAATATAGCCCAGGCGTGGTGTGGAGTGCTCCGCTGACACCTACATTCGAGGGCGCTCTAGCTTCTTATCCAGAGTTGGCTTTTTTGGTGAATTCTGCCAGACTACGACCCCATATTATGTCCTAAGATCCCGACGCTATCAAATAGCACAAGTGAAACGCCACCTATCGAGGGAAGTTTGGCCAAAGCTCTTTCCAGTATTAGTAGCTAGCAGACCAGTTCGTGACCAAGTTTATGTAATAAACCAAAAGCTTTTCTCAGACGATGAGTGCCCTTTATTCTTAGTAAAAACAAATTGTATTACTCCAGCCGATTCCTACTGGGCGCACGCATATTTTTTCATGCTACTGTGCGCCGAGTCTTCCAGCGTTTATGTGGGTGGCTGCTTAAGCTGTTTTCCATTTGTTTGACAGTTTTTCGTTTAGCAATGTATGTACATATGTATATACATGATTTTATAATGAAGTCAAGCAGTGAAATTCACATTTCGTTTTTGTTTACTGGACTCAATTTGCTGCTTTTCGTTTCGTTAATGTTACATTTCCCTTTTTTTTGTGATTCTCACTCATTGACCCGAATTCATCGCTGGCACCTTTGTTTGTTATTTTTGAGGGAAAATTGCTCCCTTTGGTTGTATTTTTTTTTTTGCGCCCACAGGCAGGTGAACAGTTAGTGGGCGTTTGCGCGTTTTATTGCTCTTTTAATTTACATTAAATTCACATGATTTTCTTTTTTGGTATTTGGGGGAATATATATCATGTCGTAGTATTTATTGCATATTGATAGCAAACACTAATTAATGGAGTTTTAACAGCTTATAATTTTCTTTCTTTCCTCCCTTTCAGCTCTGATTGTGCGTTTCCTAACCAAGCGTTATATTGGCGAATATGATCATCAAACAGGTAAGCAACGAATTTAAAGCACTTCTGTCACAGAAATAAAGTTCTGTGTTTTGTTATACTATCTCATTATAGGCGAACATAATTAATAATACCAATTTATTCTAGACAAATATTTGAGTACTGATTTAAGTATATTCATATCTCTAAAGTGAATATTTCTCGGGCGGGAATTTTTTTCTTTGAACTTTTAGATTTTATTATTTTAAAAGACAAATATTCATGCATTTCTTAATTTCCCTTAGTTTTTAGAAACTTTTATGTATTTTTTTTGTTTCTTTTTTCATTCATTTTTTTTCTTGCTCAATTTAGTTTTCTTTTAATATTTAGATTTTATTAATTTAAAAAAATTATAATATTTTTTAATTTAATTTTATTTTTTCGGAACTTATTTCAATTGTTTATTAAATTTTTTCTTTTTTGGTTCATTTTTCTTTTGACTTTAGATTTTACTTTTTAAAATAGAAAAATATATTTTTTTAATTTCGTTTTATTTTTAGAAACTTATTTTGTTTTTTTCCATTTTGTAAAGAATTTTTTTTCTTTTTGAATTTAATTATCCTTTAATTTTCAGATTTTATTCATTCAAAAAATATATATTTTTTTTATTACATTTCATTTTAAGGATCTTGTTTTAGTTTTTTATTTGATTTTTTCTTTGTTTTTTCAATTCAATTTTCTTTTAATTTTTGTTTTTTATCACGTTTTTAATTTTATTTTATTTCTTCTTTTTTGATATTTTTTTTTCTAATTTTTAAGTTTAGATTTTGTTGCTTTAATTTCATTTAATTTGCTTTTTTTTAATTTATTTTTTTTACTCGTTTTTATTGTTTTTAAAAGAAATATAAATGTGTGATTTTTTTCACGACTATTTTTTTCACTCCAAGCTCGAACTTTTGTGAAAAATACCCAAAAAAATTCTCTGAAAATTGTAGTCCTTAATTTTAATATTACCAGCAAGGTAGTACGGTTCACTAAACCCAATTTTTTCATGAAATTCTCGTTTTTTGCCCCTATCTCGTAAATAACAAGAGCCACAGAAAAAATTTAAATTAAAAACTTGTAGTAAATTCAATATCCCATGAAAATTCCACACTATCTCAAGAAATATCGATGTTAGCGATTTGGTGTTCTTGAACTTTTTTGTAGGAAAGTGAATTTCCTACAAGTTTGTCATTTCCATTTTTCTGTCGATCTTGTTATTTAGGAGATAGGGAAAAAACGAGAAGGTATTTGCCACAAAATTTCAAGCTAGTAGCGGGGAAAATTAGTCGCGAAAAAAGCACCCTAACAAATATACATATATTTTACAGGGCAATTCTAACAGCGGTCTTACAACTCCTCACAGCCTTTCGAAAGGCAAAAGTCTTTTATAAAACCATTTTGTGTTCTACTAACTATCTTGTTCAATGAATCCATCCTTACTTACATATATTTTCTAAAGAGATTAGAAAAATGTGAATCAACACCGTAACATTTTCGCGTAATGTATTTTAACGACGTTCGAGACAAGCGTGCATCGATCAATTTTCTGCCGCTTTTTGCCATGAAGCACCTGCATTGCATATTTCACCGGGTAATATTTTGTTACCCGATTATGTGATGGAAAGCATCCCAAGAATTCATGAATATTATTCCAAAAAGTAAAACACGAAGAAATTAGAAAAGCATCTCTTTTAAAAAATGCTTACAAATTGAAAACTGGTTTTCTGCTCAAAATAATATCAGGCAAAAAATGCGTACCTACGCTCTTACGCCTTTTTTAAGGTCATTTAGCATATTAGCACAGATCGATAAAATAAAAAGTTACAAGCGCATTTCCAAATACATTAAAGCAAAAATTTCGTTTTTTAATTTTTTTTCGGCACACATTCATAAAAAAAAATAAATAAATATTTGGCGCATGGCTAAATTTTTGTTGACTGTTTGGCTATGGTTCTCCTTCAATTTCTGATGTGCGTGTTGCATCCTAATGTCTTAACAAAAGTGGCGGGACTTACAATTTTATGCCGCCTCCGAACGCCAAATGGTCTTTCAGGATAAGCAAATATTCAAATTGTTCTCTCAATATACATCGACAGAAAAATTTCCACCTTCAGCATGCTTATACATATTTCAGTTTTGAGGAATAATTTGCTCTGTTTAATATATCGAGTCTTAATTTATATTATTTATAAAAAAAAAAACGAATTCCACGAAGTAAACACAAAGCCATGCGTAAATAAGGCACATCAATGGAATTCATAAAAAATTCTGATCCATACAGAATATTTCCCATTTCAAATTATCTTCTTTTTTTTATAGATAAATCATTTGTTTACTCTACTGGGCTGTGAGTCGAATCAGATTTGCGCTATCTTCATGAAATATCAGCAAGAGAAATTGATTTTAAATACAACTAAGCGCCAAGCATTCATTAAAGCACAAGCAATGTAAAAAATACAATTATGAAAATAAATTTTAAGAGAGCTATTAAAGAATTCCAGAGAGACTTGCATGCTAACATACATGCAATTACCTACATATATGTACATGCATGTGTAATCAATATATGAGTTTGTAAAAAAAAGTATTACAAAAACGAATTCATATATATTTCTCTACCCTGACCTAAATTCCAGTTAATTGCAGCATTTACTTATTTACCACTTTTGTAAAAGAATACTTCTATAAATTCGTGCCATTACAATGCACTGGAAAATGGAAAAAAAACACTCAATAATTACTTCACAATGACAGGAAAAATATTTGACGAAGTAAATCTGTATGTGTGGCTAAAAAAAATAAACCAATAGAATATTTCAATGTATTAAAACGAACATAGTACACTTGGGTATAAATAACACAAACAAAAGAAACGAAACACCGCACTTGCGTGCTTTCTATAGAAATTTAATCACACCAATTTTTTAGTTGTAGATTTTTCTATTTTTTTTTTTATTATGGGAGTTTAAAGCGCTGCAGTAAAGCAAAAAAAGTCATAAACCACAACTGAAAATGTATTTTATTACAACCCAGGTGAATTCAACCAAGGTCATCGAGTTTGGTATTCAGGGCATTTCTGTAAAATTATGACGGATAATAGCTTATTTAAGTATTAAGTCGTTCATAGAACATAGTAAGAGAATTTTCAAATAAACATACATACATGCATATCGTTATCGATCTTTAGTTCAGGTTCATTTTTTGAATAGAGTAGTGAAATGCAGTCCCCGATCACGGTGTAGTCGATCAGCACTAAGCTCGAACTTCACATAAAATTCACGGCAGTAGAAGCATTCGTATATAATAGTTTGCTCTTTTCGCAAGATCAATGCCTGATCTTGGCTGTCTTCAGAGATGTTAACGTTTACCACAGGAATTTAGCCCTCCATATCCAGTGCCATGTCTAATTGACGTCTAAGAAAATTGATAGCTACATATATATGTGTACTAGACTCCAAACTTTCCAGTTCATACACTCTTGAAGCAGAAATATGTCAAAGTGTATGAACTGAAGGTGGGCAGGGTAATTTGTCTGGCGTCCTTACCACTGATAAATGTATTTAGGCCGGATTTTTGCCAGCATATCAGCCCACTTACCCCCTTAAATTTTTTTGGATCCAGCAGTAAATAGCAACTCGCAAGAGCGATTTTGTCTGCCTGGCTGTCGGTGAAAATATTTACGTCTGAGTTTTGAGAAGTTGGAGCTACTTTGCTACTTTAGTTGTAGCATATATTGTGGCTTGGAAAACACTTAAGTAGTCCAGAGACTTAAAAATGTGTTGAAGCAAAAGCAAAAGATAAAATTTAGCAGCTCTTACTTAGGACCTCTTTTTAAAACTGGTCTAAAGAACGACACAGTCTAATTAACTGGTTAGTTCGCTTAAGTTACGGTGGGCAAATTACCGTTGAGTTTACTGTTTGGATACCTTTAATCTCAATATAGATTTCTCCGCCGAATTTTTCGCAACTTCGAATTTTTTGCATACATAGTTCTATGATATATAGTTCTGCAATTTTTTTCAAACCCTTCAGTCCTTTGATGAATTTGTGCTGCCTTTTTTCTGCCGGCCACCATACTAAGACACCAAAGGGCATTATTGGTCCAATGCTTGCTATATGTATATATCTAGATATGCTAATCAAGGGATAAGTCCCATATCCTTCCGAGCGTTTTCCTGCAAGTGTGTAAGGCATTTAAAGGCCTTCTTAGCCCTCCCTCCCACATTCAGCCACCATATCACTTTACTCTCCACAAGGACTATATTTATATTTGCAATTTAGCGAGAGGATTCATTATTCAATATCGCTTTTTATGAGGAGATACACTTAAGTCACCCTATCAACGTTATTGCTTGTGAGTACCTATGTTTGCCTTCCTCAAAATCTGCGCTGTCCTCCACTCACCGTCCTGCGATTACAAAAATTTTCAATTAAGTCGACTTTGTCTCAGTTGATGTATGTCGGTATTCATTAAGCAGTTACTAATAGAGACTTTTCATGGTAAATATAGATTTTGAGACTATGTATTTGGTATTCAGTAAGCTGTCTCACGTCTCTAGCCTAAAAAAAAGTCATTAATTTGTCAGCTGGCTTCGAGCAGGTCACAAAAAGACAAATATAGAGGAAAAGACAATTTCTTTTCATTTTACTCTAAAATCTCGAAATGTTTGATTCAAAACAAATTCATTAGGTAATAAATCTAAAAGCTTTATAATAATAAAAATAAATGAGATTCCAAAAAAAATTTTTTTTTTTTTTGAAAAAACAATAAAATCCCAAAATTAAAGTAAATTTGAAAAATAAAGAGAAAATTAAATTTTAGAAACTCAATTACGCGGAGGCAGAGGCAGATGTGCCGCATGGCCCCGAGCGCTTAAACGAGTTGACCAATATCTAAACCCATGCCATTATAATTGCTGTGAAAAGGTCTTCCATAATCCGATTTTCTCCCAACTCAGTGTAGCCAGGAAAATAAATTTCTAAGTATTATTTAGTACCGCCTAGGGACGTTCCGATACCACCAAAGTATCGATACCTACTCAAATGAGTTTACTTAAATAGCTATTTCGATACCACTTATATGAGTCAAGCGAAAGGTATCGATACCTACTTATTCGATAATTTTTCATCCATTTAAATGCAACAAAGCGAAAGTAATTTTCAGGCGTTTTCTGTGACATAAATCTTTGCGGCACCTGAGTGGAAGATCGACCTATCTCGGCAGAAAGTTGGAAAACGCCCTATCTCAGAAAACTTTTCAAGAAACCCTATTTCAGAATTCGGTTCAAAAACGCACTATCTCAAATATTTTCAATATATTTGCAGTTGAGGTATCGATATATATATTTCTTCTTTAGTAGCACTTAAAGTAATACGATTACTTAGAAAAAATTCAACCTTTGAAAGGATCCCACAAAACTTTACGGCTATAAACATTGCTTACACTTTGTTGTGGTATCACTAACTTTTTAAAAATATATCCACACTTTAGAATTTGGCGGTGTAATTGTTTAAAATATTTTTTTTTTTTATGAAAACGAAGCAACTATTTTCCATAGAAAAAATATTATCGACAGGATATGGCATTTTTTCAAATCGATTCGATACAAGTACTTTTCTTTCGATACCAAGTAGGTATCGAAACAACGATTCGAGTAAAAAAAGTAGTTGGTATCGAAACAAAAGTATCGAGTACATACTCATATTTACTTGTATCGGAACATCCCTAGTACCGCCAGCATTTGCTTGATGTCCCTTGTTTATTTATCATTCTATTTCTGTATCAGTGATGGCATCATAAACACGGTGACACGATTTTGGCGGGACAGTACCGATTTTGAGAAAATTGTGCCGCTGAATACTTTTTAAAATCGAGGCGTATAAGTGGCCCGATTTTTCATATCTGTACCGATTAAATCCCTATTTTCAATGTTTTCTTTATTAATTTAATAAGATTTTCCCTGCACTCTGGCCCACAAACAATTTTTCATACAAACGTAACAGCACTTTCGTTATCACAAAGAATATAAAATATAGGGGAGCCACAAACTTAGCCAGCATCCTTATTTTCTATGATCTTTGGTTATGTTTTATTATGTCAAACTTGTACCCTAGCTATATTGCAGTATTTCATTCTTGTTAAAAAGTTTTTTAAGGTTTTTATAATTATTTGTTAAGTTTTTTTTTAATGAAACGATTCTAATTTGAATTAAGTGAAATTATAAAAAATAATACTAATTCCCGTAACAAATTTATGGATATGAAGAAATAAGCTGTATAAAAACTAGCTAAATTCGACAAAGTACCATCAAAATTTTGAGTTTTTAGTTAAATTTCTTAGAAACAATCTGAGTATGTAAATTTTAAGTAGCTAGGACTTACCGTTGATTTTTGGTAAATTTTTTTGGGTAAGGTGGTGCTTATGTTATCCACACACAAAAAAAAATATTTAACATATGGATGAAAATGCGAGAACAAAAAATTGACAAAACTCAACGGTAAGTCCAAGCTACTTAAACCTTGCACTTTATTGTACTTAAATTACGTGGGCTACAAAACTGCATTCTATAAACCATTCTATAAAATCTTATTAATAAATTTAAAATTTTGATCAACATTTTTTAAAATTCGTCGAATTTTTATAAATGTTCTACGAAATTTTGGTTTACATGTTTTTTTTTTAGATAGTAAGTTATATTTTCATAAAAAAAGTAATAAACATTTTTTAAACAAAGAAAAGTAGCCCAAACCAAATATCTTTTCCCTATTTAAAATTTTTCGAATTTTTATTAATGTTCTAATGTTTGGATTTACATGTTTTTTTTTGATATAGTAGGTTATATTTAAAAAAAAAAAAAAAAAATATTTTTTAAACAAAGAAAAGTAGCCCAAACTAAATGTCTTTTCCTTATCTTTATTCTAAAAACAAAATTGTATGTCTGTATTCGATGCTTTCGAAATGTCCCGATTTTTCGCCACAGCTTCCATAGTCTCGACGTTTTAGGAATTATCTCTATGATTGCAGATATTATAATTTGAGATGTTAGTCGGTAGTAGCCGATATTTTAACTTCTCCAGCAAAAAGTAGTAATCATACTCCAATTTCCTTAAAATTTCCTTAGAAATAAAAAAACACGCTCATACTAATGTACACGGATATCTTAAACGTTACTCGATTTCGAAAAAACTTGTTTTAAATATTGGTTTCATCCAGAACATCAAAGAATCAAGGGAAATACTAGTTTTGAAATATTCATAACTCCATAAGTATCGTGCATAAACTCCACGGTATCCTGCCTTTGTGCATTCAACCCAGATTTTCTAAGTTTCACACTAATGTTATCACACTTTGACATTATTCTAAAGTTTGCGTGCTTTCATTCTCTATTCTCCTCCACTTTAAGGTGAAAAAATTTAGTTTACACTTACATAAATTTTATAGTACTGCTTTTCATTCCTGCACTCACACACATATTAAATTACAAAAACATTTTTATGTTTATTTGTATTGCAGAAAATCGATACAAACACGAAGCGATGGTGGATGGGGAGCCGGTGCTTTTTGAAATACTAGACACATGCCCCAAGGTAAGTGAATTATTCTGACAATGCGTGCTCACACACACAAACATATGTAAATATGTATGTATGTATGTGCACACAAGCGTTGGCAGACTGCCGCCAGAGCAAGGACGGCAAGGATGGCAAGGACATTGTTTGTGTGTTAAGTGAATTCAAATGTGTATGGTTTGCGCACTCACTTGCATGTATGCATAGATATGCGAGTGTGTGTGTGTATGTGTGTGATAGGTGAAATCACTCCTGTTGCATGTTGACAACTGTAAATGTGAAGCAGAACTCTGCAAACTCAAAAAAAAAACACATACAGACATATGTATGTATGTGCGCCTATTCGGAGGCTCCTTCTGCAAAAGTAGATAACTGTGTAGTCGACAGAAAGTTTTTTATGTGCCAAAGTCGGAGAGAGTGCACGCATTGCAGCAATGTGTGTCAGTAGTTCGTTGTTGAAATAATAACTCAATTTTCCATTTTCCGCTAGCAAAGAGGAGTGCCAATCACCCAGTCTAGCAGCTGTGTCAGTGCGACTGTCTCCAAGCGCACTATGTATTATCCTTTCCCTTCTTTACTCATTTATACTTTTATTTTTCTATTTTACTTTCATATTCACTTTGGCTGATGTCACCTTTCACTGCACAACAACAACAACAACAACGCATCACGCTGTTGTAATGTGTCATTGGTGGTGTCATTATGCGTTCCTGCTGAACAACCAAACAACCATCATCACCACCACCACCACCCACTACTCTGCAGGCCGATGACGAATTCCCTAATGCCGCCGAATTACTGCAATGGGCTGATGGCCTGCTACTTGTCTACTCCATCACCGATCGCTGCTCTTTCAATTATATAAGACGCGCCAAATCTGACATACAATCCGATTCGCCCGTTCAGCTGGTGGCCAATAAAGTCGATATGGTGCATTTGCGTCAGGTGAGCCGCGACGAGGGTGAAATTCTAGCCAAAGACTTTGAATGTAAATTCAGCGAAGTATCAGCGGCGGATCATGTCGATCAGGTGGCCGAAGTCTTTCACGAACTGTGCAAGGAAGTGCTGGCGTCGAAGCGAAAATCGAAACAGAGTCTATTGGAACGTATGCTGGGCGGTGCGCGACCCTATAGTCGAGGGAAGAGTGACAGTAATTTGCCGAAAGACTGATGAATATACATACATACATATATGGCAGAAGTGTTGAAACGGTGGGCTAGATGTGGACAGAGAGCTGTTGAAAATTAGGAAACCACCAGCGTTTATGAAGTGTTAATGAACCAGGTGCCATACATAAAACATATTCTAATTATTGAGCTCGCATCTACAAGTTAAATTAAAAGAATCATCAAAAATGTTCGAACTCCATTTTCTCACTTTTATTGTTTAGTTCAGCATAGTTTAGTGACGATTTTTAAGTTTTTAACATTAAACGAATTTTCGAAATAAAAACTAAGCTTTAAAGTACTTAAGAGGCCATTGATAGGCACTTGCGTTGTAATTTGATTAAAGTAGTAGCTTTGGAGACTAAATTAAGAAGGTGAGTAATAATGTAAACACCAAATATTTCATCCACTGAAATGCAAAAAGTCATAACTAATAAAAAGTTCAAACTTCACTTTTTGAGTTATATAATGGATTTCATCGAATTACAACTCCCCACATCAGTTTATGAAAAATATATAGTAAACATATAAGTCACGACTTTTTCCATTTCAGGCGACGATTTGTATACATATGTACATAAATGCATATATATGTATGTATATCTATATCCCTTAATAAAGAAACTTGTGGCTACATTCGATTTTTTCTATATTCATATAAATACGTAACGGATTTTCACCAGAAAGCTTACACAACAAACTTAAATTTAAAGCTTTTTCTCCAAAAAGCGCAAAAACGAACAACAGCGTCATCTCTTCGCGAAAGCAGCACAAATCATTCACAATAGACAAGCATTAAGGTGATGCACTTGGATACGAGCTTTAAGCTAAAATTATTACACTTAAATTTACGTTAGAGATGCAAACGTACGTTTGTACATATGTATGTATTTGTAACAAATTATATGAGTTCAAAGGTGCGCCTATATACATTTTGCACAATCATTAAGGCTAAGTTATGCATACTTTGCATTGCACTGCATAGCATGGCATTTTACGTAGAAATCAAAAATATACAGACTTTTACATAAGTATGTTATGCTGTGCGTTGGGCAACCGCTTACACGCAAAGCTCATTAAACAGATTCCTTATGTGACAACTCTCATGCTGGTCATGCAAAGCCAAGTATGCATAACTGAGCCTTTAGTCAATTAATAATGGACCAACAATACCAGAGAACGTATATGATTTGAAAAAAAAAAAATTTTTTTTCTTTGAAAACGGTTGAGATTTTTAATATTTTTTATGCTGACGGCTTATGAAAGAAAATTAAAAAAAAAATAACGCCAGTTTTGCAATCGCTTAAAACTTGCACATTTATTATATTAAAATTTAATGGGCTACAAAACTTAAAAAAAAAAAATTAAAAAATTAAAAAATTTGTAATGTACTCATTTTACTCAACTTCGGTGTGAAAAAATGCATAACTCAAATTATTGTAGAGTGCACCCCGTAATACGTATTACTTAAATATTGCGCATTACTCAGAGCTACCATTGTAATTTTTTTTTTCATTTTTTTTTTTGGATGACATATTTTCAAAAACTATTTTTTTTATCAAAAAACAAAAATTTTTCAAGAAAAAAATTTTTTAAATTTTTTTTTATAAAGAATTTTGATGTGTGTATGTGTGATTGTTTCGATTTTTTTTCGTCCCTTTTTCGAGCTATTTGGGAAACTATTAAATCGAATTGATTTTGTTTTTGTGCTGCAATGTTTTTAAAAATGTATTAATCAAGCTCAAATTTCATATTTATTTGTTATTTATGTTTGTCCATTAACCCTAAAAATTTGAAACAAATCAAACACATGAAGTGTGAACCCCTTCCATTTTGGTATGGAATGCCCCATATACAAATACATATAATTATCGCTCATAACCTTTGATAACGTGACACATTTTTAATGAGATGTAAGATTTTTAAAGAAAGTTACAGCGCCGAAAATTTATTGTATATAATTACTTTTTTGTAGTATAAAAGCATTGCGGTGGGTTGCAGATAGTCAAAAGCCGTAGAAAAAACTACAATTTTATATTTTCCGTTAAATGTCAAAACAATTTTCCAAACTCACGCCCAGCAGTGCACAAGCTGTCATACTAAATATATGCGCATAACAGCAGCAGCTCTTAAATAATTATATTAAGCTGTATTTATATGCATATAAATAAATACAACAATTAATAACAATTGAATCGAGATAACAGCTGTTGGCAATGTAATTCACCACAACTCAACAGTTGTAGCAAAAAAAAAAATAATCGCGCCATTTACATAATAAATATTATTCAACTTCCCCTGAAGAATATTTTAAATAGATGTGTATGTACATATGTATGCAAGTAAGTTTTATTTATATTTCACAATAATGTGTAAGTCAACGATATATGTATGTTATAAAATGCTCAGATATGTGTAGAAATGTTATAATTGTTTCAATGATTACTAACTACTTACTAACTTGCAACGACTTAATTGACTAATGGTATTCAATTTAACGATATACACATGGATATACATTTATAAACACAACCTACATATACATACAAATCCATTTGTGTATAGGTACTAGTGTAAACCTACAATGGAATACAGCTGGTAGCATTTGATTTGATAGTTAACTCCACAGGTGTGAGCACTAAGTATTTCCAAAGTTTTCTCTGTTTAATAATCAAAGAGCTCGATAATTTAAAAATATTAACATGGGTGCCCTATACGCACCTTCCTTCTGGGTCTAACAAACTAATTGCACTCATTGCAGCCCTTCGAGATATTGACCCGTAGTAGCAAGTTAAAACTGGTTATATTTAGTGTAACACACAGTTTTAAGTTTAGAAGAGATTTTTAATATTTTTTTTCAGTCTTAAAGCATAAACAGACGGCAGCGTTGATCCGGATCAACGCTGCCGTCTGTTTAAGCTTTTAGACATCTAAGAAATTGCTTTTTGCCTAAAGTAAGACAGAACAGAGTCACCCAAAAACCAAAAAATTTCAAGACGCACGAAACAATCAATATACACACAAAACTATAATACGAATACCGGAACCAAATATAACAAAACTGCGTTTTTAGTTTTTCTCTCTGGCATCAGAATTTTTTTTAAAGGACTTTGAAATTTCAAAGATATCGGGCCCTATTCGCCAAAAATACGTAAGCGAAATTTTTTCAAAAAAAAATAATAATAATTTTTGACGCAGATGAATTCCGGCATCAAGAAGAAAATTTTGAAAAAATCTCCCTTAGGTTTTTTGGTGGTAAGGGCTCGATATACTTAATTGGAAAAAAATTATTAAATGGAATAGAAAATTTTGTAAAACCAACAAGTATCAACAAAGGACCACAGGGGCGATTAAGTGTTGGAACTGACCTTTTAATTGTTTGAATTTTTTTAAGCTAATAAAGTAAGAAGAACGAAATTCGAGGATGTAGTTATATATATATATTTTAGTCCATAGCATATAACTTTTCCAAAAATAAATATTGCTAATTTTCGAGGGTATTCAAAGACAAAAATTTAAAAGAAAATTTTCCATACCCCAAAAAAAATATTAAAAGAACATTTTCCAAACCCCAACCTCGCCTTTGGCCGGGAAGCCTTATGTGGAGTCAACATATTCTATACAAAACCTCGATCAGACTGATAGCTTGTCTTATATCGTCCTCCCACTTTGCAGTCACCAAACTTGTGCGATTCTGCTGTCAGGACTTGTTGGTTGCAAGACCTACGTATTACCGTATTTTGTCCACAGTTCCGCTTAAGAGTGTATTTTGCCTTGAGGACTTGGCATTTCGTATGTGGGCAACAATTCCACGTTGGTTGATTCTAGAAGGCAAGAGTTTATTGATCTAACTCTATCTAACTGCTGGGTGGGGTGCTCATTTTTTAAAGTGAAAGAGTGATGATTCGCTCTCGGACCACAGCTATATATATATTGTGCTTAAGAACTCGACTATTGCCTCAACTATAAATCAACCCACGGGTGGTATTAATTAGGCAGTGCTCAATGCAATGGCTGCTATTCGTGGCAGTTTACCCCAAAGCAGCATTCCATGTTGGAGCAAACAGATTTAGAAGTTGTCGCCGCTGCTGCACCTAACAGGAGTAAGAAAAGAGCTTAATTGAAAAAATACTGCAGTGGTACTGATAGCTTGTGTCAAACAGTTTCGCTAGTGAAAGTTATTAAAAAGATAAAAACGGTTGAGCGAGGTTCACTTAAGAGGCATGAGACATGTATTGACACCCTTTCAGCTCTTTTAGTGACTTACTTTGCTGAAAATCAGGTGATCTTGACAGATTGCGCCCTATCAACAGCAGAGGAAGAAAATCTAAGGACCAAAGTTTGAAGGTACCACCAGTGGTTGGTTGTCTGGCGAATGAAGAAGCCAAAATACATATATGCCATTGGAGATTATCTGGTGAAGTTACTTGTGAGATGGCTTCGGAAATTCGGTGAGTGAATAAACTTTTGTACATAATTACAATACGAAGTTATTTTCTGTGTGCTTAACTGTATTTTACTTGTTCTTTACGATTGGAGAATTCTATGGAGAAGAAGATAACCACTCTGGAATTGGTAGAATGAGACTAGTTAATTGATAATTATAATGTATTTTCATAAATTTTAATGCCTACGAGGATGCGAACCTTATTGAATTTATAAAAGACTTTTGCAATTTTTTTTATCATTTATGCAGTGCATATACACCAAGGCAGAGAGCTTAAGAGCAAAGCGAGGTGTATTTTCCCTTATAAAAAGAGAGAGGGCCAAAAACATGAGTGTGAAGTGTTCGAAATGCTTAAAGATAGGAAGAACACCTGAAAATTGTAACGGAAAGTAGAGTGAAATATGAAAAGCTTGAAGGCCAGGATGCACTGCCGTAAAAGAAAAATCGTCTCTTAACGCCTTAGAGTCAGCAAATATACCCTTCATTGGGTAATACTGCAAAACCTTATAAGTCCTCTGCAATATTTAGTTGGGATCAATTTTAATCTAAGTGGGTTATCGGCTCTGGAAGCCACAATAATTGTACTAATCCAACTAAAACGAAATGTTTAACATTCTTTCGATGTCTACTCTCATTTCTTTTAACGCTCTTTCAGCTTTTTAATGAATATGTTCCTTTTTTTTAAGTTCCTTTTGGGTGTGAAGCAAAAATGTATGCCCAAATGACATAATTTGCTAAAAATGAGCTCATTTTCTACGCTTGTTTGCCCTGCAGTCATCAAATATTTGT